CACAAAGTTCAAGTGTCGTTTGATCATTGGCGCGAATGAGTTAGAATTCGAGAAAGAAAGAAACGTTCGATTCCAGTTCCCGGCTCCCGAGGCGAGCCGTGGAAAAAAATCTGCGAAACTGCGTTNAACCGCGTAATTCCGATCAATTCCGTAAAATTTCAACGGAGCCGAGGCGAGCCGTGGAAAAAAATCTGCGAAACTGCGTTCAAAGTTACATAAATTCATCTACCGTTCCATTATCGCGATGCTCGGCCGAAAGAGAGAGAAAGAGAGAGAGAGAGAGAGAGAAAGAGAGAAAAAAGTGCTGCAGCCGGGAATTTGATTACCGGCAGGAAATCGTTAACACGTTGAAAATCGATTACGTCCGCGCCACCCACGTTGACGCGGAGCCTCTTCTTTAAACAATGCCACGCTCGCGGATAACGGTATCGCGTTTTAATCACGTTTTTCAGAATCCATCCATGCCAACAACAACAACAACAATAATAATAATAACAACACAACAACAACAACAACAACAACAACAACAACATACACGATAAATAATAACATTTAAATGTATCCTCGAAAAACGACACGACGCGAGCGGGCTAAAAAGGAATAAAAAGGAATAAAAAGGAATAAAAGCGGATGCGAAGTGAGAGCATTGGACGATCGGTCGAAAACGGGGAAAAATGGCGGTGATAACGAACTATCGAGCCGACTATCGAACGGTTAATTTCTTTCCAGTTAGTTCTAGCAGCACAAACGAGGAAGTTCCTTATCAAGCGTGTCGGATAAAGTCGTTACACGAGACAGAGAGGCATTAATAGCCGAAATCGATCGACGTAGGGAGGAGAAGAGGGGGGGAGAGGGGCCCGCCTCGGGCCACGCTCGTCGATGACGTTACTACCGTTTTAACGAAGGGGTTGCCCGCCATCAAGGAATCGCGTTTTCCCTGCAGACGATGATTATTTAGATTATCCTGCGCGATCTCTGCGTCGTGCAATCTCTCTCGTGTAGCGAGAGAGAGAGAAAGACACAGAGAGAGAGAGAGAGAGCGAGAGGAGAAGGCAGAGACTCCGCGTCTCGCAATCGCTTTGATGACATTCGTCTTCGAAGTTCGAATCCCCCCCGGGGCTGCGTGCGTTTCGTCTCTCTTATAACCGGGGTGAACCCGGTTCCTGGCTCTTGTCGCGATTAAAAGCCAAAGCGCAGTTCGATTAATTCCGGTTATTTGCGTCGTCGAATCGATTCGGATCGAACCTTCCTTTCGATTTATTCGTCTGCCTCTCTCTTTCCTCTCTCTCTTTCCATCATCCATTTCATCCACATCGTACAGTAGGGATTGTCTCTCGATTCTTCATCCTCACGCGAATCGTCGCACAACGATAATTTCGCGCATCTTCTACTCTTTTCTTTTTCTTTTTTTTCTTTTTTTCCGATTCGCGTACACGTTTGATCGAGCACCATAGACGTTACTTAAAGGGTACTTGCGATTGAAATTGCTGTTCGACCAAAGGGAGGAATCGTATACAAAAAAGAAGAGCGATTCGAACGTAATTCTCGAGTGATTTCTTTGACTTTGGGGGAGCAGTGGAATGAGCTTTACAATCGGGAAAGAAATAAGCGTAGCGCGAGTACAAAGAGCGGAAAGATCAGCGCGAGATCTGTGCGCGGAGAAAATTTTTTTTTTTTTTTTTTAAAGAGAATCGTAATTTCGGCCAGAATCGTAAATTGGCGGAATAACGCTCGTCGTCCCCGTCATAAAACATCTCTGCACTTTAACGTCCGTCCGGAAAACGGCAGCGGAGCCGGTCGTACGAGGCTGGCCGCGACTCGTTCCCAGTTTTGGACGTTGAGAAATTAACGGCACCCTTCCGTTTCCGCTGGAAACGACGCGGGTCTCGGGTTAAAAGCGGGAGACTGCATCGAACCAAAGCCGCCCTTCCAACCGATACGGGACAATAACGATCGTATCTTCTTTATCGCGCGTGCATGGATGGAAAGATTCCGCGTGAAATCGAGAGGAAATGAAAGGTTATACCTTAAAATAATCAATTTGCAAATCGATTGGATCCTCTCGTTACTCTTCGATACGGAACAATGACAATTTTGTCGCGCATCTCGTGGACAGAAAGGACATTCTGTAATTTTATAATACAATTTATACGGGAAATGGCAACGAATTGTTTCGACCAATAGGGAACAATGACGATAACAACATCTTCGTTACACGCGTGAATAGAAATTGAGGATGGAAAACGTGGCGAAATTTTAATCCTGAAATATAATTTATACACGAAATCGAAATGATATACGAAAGCTTGTTCACACGCGTGAAACGGAGAATGGTTAGAAGACTTGTTTAATTCTGTTTTAAATGTAATCGATGACGAGGATATCTTCTTTCTTCGTGACGCGCGAGGTAGATAGAAAGATGATGGAAGGAAGAGTCGCGTAAACGGAGCGAACAATTTAATAATTCAAGATTTACGCGGGAAATCGCGAAAGGCGTCGAACAAAGGGGCGAAGGTTGTTGCACCGGCCTTGAACAGATAGAGGGAAGAATTATAGCGATAGCGGGACGGAGCCGTGAAATTTAGAGAATCGGTGAATAGAAACGGACAAGTTGGCAGCATGCCTAGCCAGGGCCCAGCCAAGGGGGGGATCGTTAGGGTAAGATTGAAGATTACAATGGAGTGAATCGCGAAGACAGAGAACGTCCGAAGAGGACACTATTTATACTAGTGTAACGTTCCCTTTGATTAATCGTACGTGAGAATCGTAGTTTTCGTTTTAAAATTTCTCCAATTATTCTCTTTCCAATTATTCTTATCGCGTCGTTATTTTCCCACAAAAAACGATATTATAATTCATTCGTTATAGTATATTATATATTATATATTATAACGATTATTAATTAGACACAGTTCACCGATCGAACGAATGAAAACAAACGAACGAACAATATGTAAATTATATATTTCTCGAAAATAGAAATAAAAAAAAAAAATAATAACAAGCGATACGTACGTACGCGTGTATCGAAACACATAATTCGAGTGTCGAGCTTATTTATTACAAAAATATAAATATCCGAGAGCGATTACAATCCGTCTCGAATATTTACATTTCGATTTTCGCTCGTCCCGAAATCCTTTCATCCAGTCAATTTTCGCGGTTAACGGAAGCACCAGCTCGAAAAGTTTCCTCTCCAAGTATCCGATCCTCGAGAGGGGAGGGGGTTAATTAATTCGCATAAATTTCGCGTGTGTCCTGTCTGCGAGGGAGGGGACGCGACGATTCGGCGATGGCGGCGAACTTCGATGCCTTTGAAGTTTTCCCCGATATCGTGGGAGCGGTTGCGAGTTGGCCAGGAATTTTCTCCTGGCGCGTTTTATCGACGATCGTGGTGGTCGTAGTGGTGATGGTGGCGGTGGTGGCGGTGGTGGAGGTCCGGCAGAGTGGAGAATCCACCGCGCCTCGCGGCAGAGAGCCATTCTCGACGAAGAAAAAGAGCATGAGGAAGGGGAAGGGGGAGGACAGAAACGTATCTGCGTCGAGGGAACACGATTCTTAAACTCGTTCGTGCGGAACAGATATCCGGTCCCGAAATCAGCCTCGTTACGAGATATATGTACACACAAGGGTCGGAAAGAGAGAGAGAGAGAGAGGAAGACAAAGTGATTCGCGCGAGTACATGCAAAATGGAGGGTTGGAAAGAGGGGAGGGGAAAAAAAGGGCGAAGAGAAGAGAAGAGAGAGAGGAGAGGTGGGGGCAATCGATACGCGGAATTTTCTCAATGAAATTGGAAAGGAACTATTTTATTTCCGGTCGCTCGATCGCTAGCACTCGGTCTTTTCACGATAAACTACCGAGTACTGAGACGATCGCCCTTCCTTCGAAGGAGGAAAAAAGAAGTATCGAGTGGTGGTGGAAAAAGAGAGAGAGAGAGAGAGAGAGGCGATTCTTTTTCGAGAGCAAACCGTTCCGTATGCAAAAGATAGAACGTGCGCCGCAATCTGAACGAAATCTCGAAACGCAATTTCCTGAACGGCCGACCGAGCGTCGCGCATCGGCCTCTGTCCGCTCTCCTCTTTCTCTCTCTCTCTTTCTCTCTCTCGCCGATCGAACCATCCATCTTCGAACCATGAACGCGACTTTAATCACGCATCCATGCATCCCGTCGACCACCACTTTCCGCCACCGGCGTTGTTTCTCTTTCCGTATCGCGTCACAGCCCGATCCTATCTCACCGCGTTATCTCTCGGTTCCATCCGCGTTACATAATGACTACCAAGTACCATTCCGATGTAGCACGGGTATCGAACGTTGTAGCACTCCGAAGCGAGATTAGTCTCTCGAGACAGCTGTGCAATTTGCCACTCGTAAGTCTGAAATCGATATCTCGTCTCTCTCTCTCTCTCTCTCTCTCTCTCTCTCTCTCTCTCTCTGTCTCTCCGTCTCTTTCTCAGCCGACGTCGAATCAACGTCGATCGTTTAAGATGGTCGAATTAGATCGAGATGATATCGAGGCGAGCGTGGAGGAGACGCGGAGCGTCGCGATTCCTCTCCTCCGTCTTATCAAAGTTCATCGACCCGATGTTGTTTCAGTCTCCGAGCCGGCTGACGGCTTTAAACGGCAGCGTGAGAGGAGCAGCGCGAGATGGTTCATTGAACCAGATCGGTTAATGTGGGTCGTCGTAATTCTAGACCGGGTCTATTTTACGGTTCAAGCTGTCCATCAGATAATTCTGATGAGGCTATTGTTCGGTCAGAGAGAAGATTTCATTCGTTACGTAATATTAAGCTATTCCAACGGATTTCGCTGGATATTCGCATCGAGAGGGACGATCTATTCTGGTCTAATTGCTCTTTGCTCGGTCTCCTCCGGGATGGATGGATGGATGGATGGATCAACGACCCTTTTGATAATAAACTCGACGACATTTCTCTCTCTCTCTCTCTCTCTCTCTTCTTCTCCTTCAATAAGAGTCTTTCCGTCTTCTTGATTGCAGGTAAAGGTAATGCTGAAGGTGTCACCGGGGGAAGGTGGAAGTTTCTTCAACGCCGATAAGAGAAAGAAACAGGTGACGTTGGTCGATCCAACGGCTGGGCAATCTTCTTCGGCGGACGATCGCAGGCCGACCGTGGCAGCCCCGAAAATGTTCGCCTTCGACGCGATATTCACCGAGGAGGATTCCCAGGTAAGCTCGTTACGAAATAATTCGAAAGCGACGATTCTTCTTCCCCTCCTCCTCCTTCGAGTTCCTCGAGCGAAACGTAGAAACGCGGCGATAGAGAGACGCTGGCCACCGTTTTCTCTAGGAGGTGGATTCGTTGGAAGAGGGAAGGAACTAGGATAAATGGCGGAAGACGAGCCAGGGATCTTAGGCGAGGGAAACTTTAGAAGAGGGAAGAAGAGGACGGTGGAAAAGAAATCGAAACGTTGAAAACGTCTACGTGCCCCTCGACTCGCGCGTTCATCCTAGAGACGTCCCTGCCGGGCGCATAACTAAACTAATTTCCCGACCTCTAAACTCCACCTCTCGACAGGAAAATCCAACCTCCCTCTTCTAACCCGCGGACCCTCGGGCGAGCGTTGCTCCTTGCTCCTCGCTCCCCCTTCCCCTCCCTCCTCCACCTCGAGCAGGAGACCAGCTCGATTCGATGCTCGTGATTATTTTCGAATTCGCGCGTCCCCCCGACTGTCCTCCGCCCTTCCACCTCGCGATTATCCTCCATTCCTCCTCCCTTTTCGACGAAGGCGAAAAAGAGAGAAGACCCATCGCAGAAAATTCCGCCAATCGTAATCGCGCATCACCTTTGACACCCAAAACTTTGCGACGTTTCCCATTCTTTCTCGACTTTCTCCAGAATCCATTCCAAGATGAACGGAAGAACGGATCGATCAGCGTTTCCCGAAGACAAGATAGCGTAACGTATCTTTTCCCTCCCACCGTTTACCACGGCGAATTTTATTGGCGTGGCATTGATGAACGACATCGCGAATGTCATCGGGGAGCTCAGCAGCGGCACCGTTATAATATCGCGGGTTGCACGTGTATATATATGTATATACATGTACACGTATATATATATATATACATATATACACGTGCATCGAGATATTTCGATGCTCTCCGGGGACATTATCGAGCGTCGGATTCAAATGAACCCGGAGCTACTCGGTTTTCCCTGCTCTACCAGCTCGCCAACTCTCTCTCTCTCTCTCTTTCTCTCTACGTTCCTCTCCATGCCGCCCTCTCTATCCCAGCCAGTCCTCTCCAGGGACTAGCCCTTCGTTCCCCGCCGCTGGCGCGTTCCTCTGGCCCTTTGACGCGAGTCGCGCTCCCCCGCCACACGCTGTTTAGAAGAACGTTGCAAAGCGATCGATTGATTCGATCAAATGTCCGCTTTGGCCGCGACGATTGTCATCCAAAGTCACAATGGCCTCCCCTCTCCCTTTTCCACCTTTTTCTCTGCCGCAATCGTATCCACGGCCTCGTTCCAAACTTGCAAGTCGAATTGCGGGGACAGGGAGGAGGAAACTCGCGGAGAGAATGCGTCCGTCCTCGGGGACGGTCCGTCCTTTTCGACGACCATCCGTCAAACGCAGATCCCCCCTCCCACCCACGTGAATATTTTAAAGGCGGCGTCGGTCCCGAAAGTGGTTCGTCTTTAACCAGTCTCCGATTTTTCCGATTCTCGCAGCCACTCAGCGTAAATCGCGAGCCAATTTGACTTTTGATTTTCTATTGATTTAACGGAGATGGATAAATACTATTTTTTTTTTTTTAAGTTCGTCACGTGTAATAAATATCCTTCCGTTGCTTTCGCAAGAAGAAATCTAGACGAGAATTCGTCCACGTAATAAAAAAATCTTGATCGGAAATTCCATAAGCAGAGAGAAGCGCTCTCAACCTCCACAGAATCCCTTACAATATCGACTCGAATCGTTCTGAATCTTGGCGTGAATTCTTTTTCTATCCGCATTTCGAGTTCGCCTTCAAAAATGAGGATCTCCTGAGTGAAATTGCACCGCGCGGGAAATGTAATTGCCGTGGACCGATAATCTTCGAGCGGCGGATACCTTTGCCGATCCGAGTCCGCAAATACGCGGATCGCGGACAGCCGACCGCTATGCGGAGACGCGTCCCAATATGACGCGCAAACAGACCGCGCCAGTTTGATTATGGATCAGTCGTAAATTACCATCGTGGATGGAAGCCGATCGATCGTTTAACGGTGTCCGCATCGTAGAGCAACTCGTTCAAAACTTGGTATCTCGCCAAATAATTATTCGAAAGGAATAACTTTCGTTCGTCGTTACGCGGGAGCGTTTCTTCGCGAACGCGCGTCGAAATCGTTTCCGACGAACAAGAGGAAAGAAACGGTGGAAGAAAAATGGTGGAGAAAGGTTGGCGGATATGTCGAGAGGAGAGAAGAAAAAGCGTGAGGGAAAGCGCGTTTCGTTCGGATCGACCGAGTCGTCGATAAATTCGTAATATCGGTGGCTGTCAAGGCCATTCATCGTAGCGAGTTGCCGCCATTACGTAAGAATAGACGCGTACGTGGATTGTCAGGGGGTAGTTTCACTCCCTGAGTTTATTTCCGCGTGGAGGAGGGAAAAACTCGGAGAGGAGGAGAAAGGAGGAAAATGTCTTTGAAGTTCCAATTTGTTAGAAGCTTCCTCTCCCCTCCTTGCCCCTCTAAGCCGTGAACGTCGTTACGCGAACGCGCTTGGATGGTGTCGTTTACGGTGGCGGCAATTTGCCAAGGATAATACTTGCCGCTTCCGAATTTTCGTTACGTCGTACGAAGCCACGTCGATTAAATCTCGCGATAGTGAGTTTCGGAGAGGATCGAAAGGAAGGAAGGAAGGGATGTAAAATTCCATCGCGTCTCTCCCCTCTTCCTTTGAAATTCCTTTTTTTCGATACGGGTCAATTAACGTTAAGGTAATGGCGATTTTCGCGACACAAAGCCCGCACGAATCTTCCGTGCCGTGCGAGACAATTCTCGTTCTCGACAATCCTCGTCCGTGGATACTCGTAATGATGGTCTCCCTCCTGGACAGAGGGAAGAAAGAAAGGCTGTCGATCTCAGGTGTCTCGGCGACGATGGTGGAAAAGGACGCCAAGTGCCCTCGGTCACTCGGATCCCGTCCGGTGTGCAAATGAAACGTGGGCCAAATTAATTGAACATCCATCTCAATTACGGAACGGTCCGTAGGTGAATGCGAGCCGGGCCAGACGCGCTTCGAGATCTTATACGCGTGTGTACATCGCCGCGTACATCGCCGCTGGCCAACGACAATTCCATCCCCGCGAACGAGCTCGGGTGGACAATGCATCCTGGACGGAATAATTCACCGGGGCCATTATGGTCGGTCCAGGACAAGGGCTTTATTATTGACTTACGACTAATAGTCACGCTGTGGATTACGCGCCCGTGTGTACGCGCCCGCGATACGTACGCGCTTGCGTACACTACCTCCCCCCCCCCTCTCTCTCTCTCTTCACCCTCCTCCCTCGTTTCTCACTTTCTCCGTTCCCCGCGTATTATTGCGCGGAGCAGAGGCGGAGGCACAGAGCTTCCCTTCTCTCGCGACGTAGCGTGGCTTCGATCTATCGCTCATTTCCCAGCGAATGCTAATCGAACGGAGGCCGCAAATTCACGGTGCGTGGCTTCTTGTTCTCCTCTCCTTCGGGTTTCCGGCCGTCCGACCGACGGAAAATGGATCGAGCGCGGCCTGGATGTCCTCCCATCCCCCCCTCCGGCCCCGCGGCAGACGGGATTAGAGCCGTATCGACGCCGGGATTCTTATTAAATCCAACCAAGTCCAAACCCCGACCGATTCTTATTAAGACGAAAGAATCCGTCCGATACCTTTGCTGCTGCTCCGCTCAGCTCTAATTTGCCGCCCGGTTTCGATTATGGAGATTACCGAAAAATTATGCTCGACCCTTCCCTCCTCCTCTCCACTCGCCGCGAGATTAAAGCCCGGAGGGGAGGGGGTTGGATCGTTTGCGGTTGAATCGTTCTCTCGGAGTCCTTTTTTTTCTTTCTTTCTTTCTTTCTTTCTTTTTTTTCTTTTTTTTCCTTTTACGACGAGGATAAACGCGGTTGAGATTAGGGGGAGATAATGTAACGCGAATTTTTTTTAACCAAAATGTGGTGTATATTCCACGCACACGTATTATATTTTCGTACGTATATTACGAAAACGCGTATGCACGATGCTTCGTTTCGAATACGGTTTAAAACGGTCCGACGAACCAATAAATTCGGGCCACGTGCTTTCCCTTGGCTAATCCGCTTTTTCTATTTTTTTCCCCGCCTCCTCCCCCCCTATTTTTTTTCTTTTTTTTCTTTTTTTTTTCAACACGGTTGATCGATCCACAAAGCAAACGCATCCCTTCCTCCCCTCTTCCTGCTCCTCTTCATCAAAATTCGTTGGCCGCGTCACAGTCAGGCCGCTTGCCATTATTCCTAGAATACTAACAACACAGGGCGGCATTTATCCATCGATCGACCGTTCCTCCGTTCGGGAAAGGATATCTGCCTCGCCTCGCCCTTCTGTAATCGATGCGCGCAAATCGCACGTTAGAAGAACAACGATCGTCCAGATCCGAATAAGCTAGGGGTCGATAGCGAGACTCCTCTAACAGGCGAGTGGAGCCATGGCTGGTAATCTGTAAACCAATCATACGGGCTCGTGGAACGGATCCAACCCCAATTGGCCGCATCCACATTCCTTGTTCTGCCTTCCTCGTGTCCGACCGGATCTTCTCGCACAGCCCATCCCGGCGCGCCGCATTTCCATATTACAGTAAGATTAATTCGGGCCACGAGCACCGGGGGCGGGAGGGAGAGTTCAGGAACCCCGGTGATGAAGTTTGGCAGGTGTCTGACACGCGTCAGCCCTTCCAAAAGCGAGACGTCACTCTGCCGGAGATCGTGCATTCCGGTCCACCGACGTGCCTCCCGATTCCGTGCCCCCCTCCTCGAAATCGTTAGAGAACTCGCAGGGAGGGGGAAATTGCTTTTATTCCCTCTTTCGACCCCTCTCCTCCTCGGTTTATCCGGTACGCGCGATTTTTTTCCAAACAGCGCCGACGAGAAACACTTTTAATTATTTTTAACAACCGCTGTTTCAAGCGTTTCGGGAAATTCGTCGGGGATAAAAAAAAAAAAAAAAAAAAGAAAAAAGGAAAAAGAAAAAAGAAAAAAAGAACGCAGGCACGCGGATGGAACGAGGGAGAGAAGAGAGGCGGGAACGAGCGAAACGCGGATAGGGTTACTAACGATTTCGATTTTGCATCGGTCAAACCGAGCGTTGGATTTCCCTCCCTCCTCCGATGCTTTTTTGATCCGACCAGTCACCGCGGTGACTAGGGTGGCCCGGTTTGCCGTTCCAGGTTCTGGATAGAAAGCGAGGAGGAGGGCTCGTTCTCGTTCCCCAGGCGCCAATGACGCCAATCTCCCGTGTAAATCGCGACATATTTCACCGACCTCCCTCTCTTCTCCCCGTCGCGCTCCCTTCTCGCGCCCACCCTCCTCCGCTTTGACAACCTCGTGAACGCTCTTACCGCGATACTTGGAGTAAAAAATCGGATAAAAAGTTCTCCTCCCGCTATCCTCCCCGAGGAGGAGGGTTAACTCCTCCCGTCAGAGCTTCAACGTCGACGATTCGAAAGCTCGAAAGGAGAGATCGATAAGGTGGATAAGGAACGATCGTTTCGCTCGTTTGGGACTCGTTCGTTGGGAAACGTTCCGCTCGAACGTCGAGTCGATATCGATATCGGAATTTATTAAGTCGGCGGACGAGTGTCACGGTGCGGTGAGCAAAAACCGGATGTCACGCGTACAATTGCGGGGGATGCAATTTTTGGAATTATCGACTCGTGAACGAGCGCGCGAGTTTTCCGCCGCGTGCATGCGCGCTCGTAGACACGCGGCTGGACGAGAGCGAAAACCACCATCCCCCTCGGCTCTGTTTGTTTTTGATACGGTTTTCATCGCGAACGATGGTTCACGCGCCAGCTGCGTCTACACGCAAATGGTAAACCGCCTACTACTTTCCTCGCAACGATGTAGATAATGGCCTCGACCGTGCTCTCGTGAAAGCTCGTAAAATCGGTCGCGATATACACGATTCGCCTACGTTGCATTGCATAGCATAGCGATTTCCTAGCTTTGCTTGAAAATGATGTCAGACTTTAAAAAAAAAAAAAAAAAAAAAAAAAAGGAAATTAAGAAAATGTATTTCGTAATATGTAAAATTATATTTTACATATTTTTCTCCATTCCATTTTTTTAACATCATTGACGAAAGTTGATAAACGCGAGAGGTGTTTTTCTTGCAATTATTTAAATTACCCGTTTTCGCATTCGGCGTGTATTACGGCGATATATTGTAATCGACAAACACGATTTTCGTAACGTTCACGCAATTAACCGATAGTAAATTGGACCGACGGATGTTATTCTAAATACATTGTTGACAGATACATCGTACCCTGATAATTCAAATTCAACGTGATTTTCCACGAGGCGAATTAACTTCATCAACGTCTATCCCAATAACCGATTTGACAAAGTTCATCTCCCATGAATCATAACCCGTTCACGCTCCGTGTAAACATATTCATTCCTCTCTAATTAGCGGAATTTTCGTCCGGATCCAACGTTTAATCTCCACTCTCCCCCTTCCCTCCTCCTCCCTCCTCCCTCCTCCCTCCTCCCTCCCCTCCGAATCGAATAAACGGAAATTCGGTTTATTTCGAGAAGAAACTTGCCGGTTAACGAATCCGCGAAAACCGCCCCAGGTTTAAGAAAATGGAAGCGGTCGCGACACCTGTTCCCTCTTCCACACAGGCATCGAGGCATCTGGAAACTTGAGAATTAAGAGATTCGCGGAGAAAAGGGGAGGAAGGAGGGAGAGAGGGGTCATTCGATTATTTCCACCCATTAAAAGCCTCCCTTAACATCCAATCGCGAACGCCACTCCTTTCCCGCTACCACCACCTTCTTTTCCAACTTTCTTACACGAGTTTTACATTTCGCCGGGAAGGATGGTGGTGGTGGACGGGAAGGGTGAAAGGGAAGAGATAGGAAGGGAGAGGATAGGGAGGAGAGGAGGAGAGCGTAACTCTGCAAGTTCCTCGTCCAAGAAGCTTATCTTGGGCCACGAGCATCGACAACCTTCTCTCTCTCTCTCCTCCCTTTTCTTGTCGGTATCATTGGTATTCCGCGCAGTGGCGCCAATATTGCGTTACCGGAACGCGTCCTGCAAGTGGAATCTTCGGCTACGACTCAGGCCACGATGACACCGAGCAACTCTCTCTCTTGTAAGTCACACCGCAGAGATCCCTTCTCTGCCTTTCTCTTCCTTTTAATTTACACTCGCCGAAATTAATGTCGGAGTCATCCTCCCCATTGGAGTCGGTAATAGAGACGGTTGGATTTTTTTTTTTTTTTCCCCCTTTTTCAATCGTTCCTAGACCTCTCTTCCGCAAAGCTTCTTTCAAGAAAGGAGAAGGAAGGAAAAGGAAAGTCTTGTCGAGAAGTTGTCGGTAACAAATTTCACTTCGTTTTCTTAAGCGTTCCCCGGATAGACGGTAAGCTCCTCTTTTTTTTCCTTCGGTCGGGACATCTCTATGGTAATTTTCTTCCTTTTTCTTCCTTTCTTTCTTTCTTTCTTTCTTTCTTTCTTTTTTTTTTACGGCGTGTCTGAAATCGCGAAAACGATTCACACGGTTCGAAAATTGTCAAAGGAGCGACGAATTCTCCCTTCAAGAGAGAGAGAGAGGCTTTACGAAATAATTGTACGCGCAATATATTTTTTTCTTCCTCCGTATCCGGTTTTTTCAAATTCAACCGGCGCAATAAATTTCCTCCCGCGTTACGTTTGCGCCGGAAAGATCGAATCGTTTGAAGCAGCGGCGAAAGGAAAAGAAAAAAGAAAAAAAAAAAAAAGAAAGATTAAAATTCGACGACGCATTATAAACGAGGCACGAGGAACGGTCGCCGAGGGGATGTTTTCCGCGCGGTGAAACGACGAGCCAACCCCTTTCGTTCCTCTCAATTCCGAGCGGGATCGCGGAATCAAGTGTTTGAGATTATGACGGAGGCTTCGGTCACGTATTTCATTAACCGTGATGCTGTCGGTTCCGGAGCGTTCCGCAAGAGGGGGAGCGGGGGAGAGAGAGAGAGAGAGAGAGAGAGAGAGAGAGAGAGAGAGAGAGAGAGAGTGGTGGCGAATCTCTCGAGGGTGCAGGTAGCCGCGAAATATGTTTGCTTTGCGTTACATCCCCCTGGGATGATCCCGTTATAATTATGAATGTCCTTGTTGTCCCGCGGATCTCTTCTTCGCCTCTTTCTCCTCCCCCTCCCCCTTTAATCTCGTCGAGGGTATTCTCGACGCGCGTTTTCATCGCTTCTTTTTTTCTTTTTTTCTTTTTTTTTTTCAAACGCGGCAATCATCCGTGGATCGGTTTCGCTTTCGAAATCCAAATCCCCACCGTATCGAAAGATTCGATGAAACGGGCAAAGACAAATTGGAATTACTGTAACGGAGAAGGGGGGAGGGGAGAGAAGACCGGACTCCTTATTTCCGTTCCCTTTAAAGCGGAGGCAGGGAGGGAAAAAACGCAGCCCGAAGGGTTTCCAAATCGCTCGCTTCGCGCAGTTCCTTCTCTTCCAGTCTCTTGTGTCCCTGGAAAACTATCTCTCTCTCTCTCTCTCTCTCTCTCTCTCTCTCTCTCTTTCTTTTTTTTCTTCACTTCTCGAAACTCACCGCAAGCTTTCATCTCCCCCTTTTCCATCTCGGGCCTCGAGATTCATCCGATTCTCGTCCGCGAAGATTTCAATCTTGTTTGGTCGAGGTATCGACACGTTCTCATCTTCCTCTCCCGATATTCCCGAGCAACCTGCTCCCCTTTCCTACGTTTCCCTCTCTCGCGAAACCCACGTTCGCCGACGCGGTCGCGGGAGTGAAAGGGAGAGAGGAGAATGGTCGATGTCTATATATCGATCGGTCAGGGCGAATCGAGTGCAGGCTCGAAGGAAATTCCCGGTCGCTTCCGCAGGAAATTCGCGGAACGAGGAACCCTTCGCACCCCTCTTCCATCCTTCCTCTCTTCTTCTTTCCTTTTTCTGCTCCTCTCTCTTTCTCTCTCTCTTTCCAAAAATTCGTCTATCATAACGTCGTAGATACGCGTCTCTTAACTAAGCGAGAAAGTCTGGCGAAAGACAAAGGAAAGAAAAGGGGTGAAATTAGGGACCGCGGTGTCCTTCTATATTTCTGGAAAAGACTTTTCCAGTCTATGAATATATTAAAAGCAAACAAAGCGGAGCGCGGCTCCTCTCGTAATCTCTCTCTCTCTCTCTCTCTCTCTCTTCGTACCAAAGGACGCAACGCTCGTCCCGTTTATTAAACCGTCCCGCAAACGCTTTCTTAAGTACTTTAAGTTAAGCTTCGTCGTTACCCTCGAAAGTCCTGGCTGGTATCTCGTCTTCTCCCCCGCTCCTCGTCGGATCCTCCTATCACGATGAGGGAACAATTAAAATCGCGTCCATCGTCGGTCCAAAGCGCCTCGGCTGTCGTAGTTAAATAACTTAACCCGAGGGCCTACTCCCTTCGGACGATCAAATTAGATATCAATATTATCGCCACGCTTAGCTTAGAGGAGTAGCTTTCCTCGTCTCTGAGACGAGTTCGAACGATTGTCTCTCATTTTCGCAAATTTTCAATACACATTTCGTTTCTCCTCACTTCGTAAAATTCTCTCTCTATTTTCTTTTCTTTTTATTCTTCTTCTTTACAGACCGAGATCTGCTCGAGTGCTCTGACGGACGTGATCCACGCGGTCATCAACGGAACGGATGGCTGCCTCTTCTGCTTCGGGCACGCGGGATTAGGTGAGTGTTCACGAGATTATCTAACGAGATGTTCGCAATATCTTTAAGGGAATAAAAAGAGGGTTAAACATTTTTCATCGTTCTATCGCCAAGGGATGACAACGTCTTCTCGTTGCCTTATTTCCCTTCCGTTCATTGTTCCGACAAAGTTCGACGTCCTCGTGAACAAACCGCCATTGTTCGTCCCTCATCTTGGCAGAACATGGACAAACAATTACATAAAATGCTATACTCTGTTTTTCTCATTCGAGAAAATCAGATGATACAAAGAAAAAAAGAAGAAGAAAAAGAAAGAGGAAAATTTATTTACGTTTGAAATGAAAATTTCTCAAAATTGCTTATCCTATTTTCATCGTAATTTCCCTCTGATCCTTGGGACGACGAAATCATCACGCCATCGACGAAGTTGATTGTTAGGTTATAATATTAAAAAAGGAAAAAAAGGAAAAAAAACTAATAAAAGTTCGGTAATAGGCGGATACAGGGAGCGGTAAGCGCGAAAAAGGTTAATAAAAACTTGGTGGGATAAAGTTTGCCTTTTTCTAATTACGCGTGCACCGTGAAAGAATACGAAATCCGATCCACTGAATTTTCAATATCTCTCTTCCGTAACTCCGACGACGAGTTCTCCTTCCATCTCTCGAGCGAGGAATTAGCAATTCACAGGCGCGACGTAGATTCTTTATTTACACGTATCCCCGAGTAGCAGCGTCCATTTTCTCAGCCAGCCGGTTCGCCGCTCGCCGTTTTCATCGCCGCCCCCTCCAACGAGGGAAAGAAAGAGCACCGTCGTCGTCCGAGACGCGCTCGCGAGTTGTTTTACATTTTAAGTAGTGATATCGAGTTTGCATGCAAATGCATGATTATGCGAGGAAACCGAGGGGAAGGAAGGTTTTCTCGGGTCGACGACAAGGAGAGGCGAGAGCCGCGAGGCGGGAAAACGAGGGAGGGGGAGGGGAAGAAGAGGAGGAGGAGGAGGAGGAGGAGGACGAAAAGGTGGAGTCGAAAGGAAACGAGATAATGTATGCTACTGGGGCACGAGCTTTCTTGCCACCCTCTCTTTCTACTTTTCGCCCCTTTCCACCCTCGCTCCACTCGCCACCCTCCACTCTTCCACCTTTCGAATCTTAACGCATACCGGAGATTATCTTCGCCTCGTCTCGCTGTACTTTCAGCGGAAATAACTTCCGCGCTGACGGATTTATGGGAAGCCCGCTCGGAGAGACCGGTTGTTAAACCTCGCCGCCATGTTCTTCTGTACACGTACATCGCAACGTGGCATCGCAAGCCACGAGATGCGATGAATATTCGCGTTTCGTGAATTTCTTTTTCTTTTTTTTTTTTTTTTTCGAAACTTCAATTGTAACAGTATCCCCTCGAAGGAGGAGAGGAGTTCGTTGAGCCCCCTATCGTTCGTATCGGCTCGAACGAAGTTCGTTATCGTGGAATAAGAAATTCGATCGAGCGATATCCGCCGCGAGGAAAAATCAATAAAGCGAAAGATGCGTATTCGGTTCTGAGAGAGGATGGAGGAAAGAGCGATGGAGGAGAGATAAGAGGGTCTGGAAGGAGGGCGAAGATAAAGAAACGCCGAAGAGAAGAAAGGCGTGGAAGGAAGCCGGACGAACTTTCATCCCCTCGCGCCTCCGTTGAAGATACTCGAGGCGAGTCTGCGAGCAAACTGCTTTTGATCATCGCTAGGACAACGCGCCTTCTCTCCCTTTCTCTTTCCGTCTGTGTGTCACTCCTCTTCCCCTCCTCCTCCTCCTCCTCCTCCTCCCCCTTTCTTTGTAGCTCCCCTAACTCTTTACCTTGCCGCTTCCTGCTGCTTTGACACGGAGAGGGGGCAGGGTGAAACGCACGAACAAAAGAAGAGAGAAGGTCCGTGAGATGATGCGCGTGGATCGCGTGGACTTAAGTCTTAAAGTTACGCTTCTTCTAATTTCCCTTCTTCGCCGGGCTTCTCTTCGTCGACTCTTCTTCGTTTCGTTCTGAATCCCGTTGCGAGAATTGACGGGAGACGCGAGGATAGACACGCGAGGAAGGAGAAGAAAAGAAAAAAAACGAGAGGAACAACTACGGAAAGGACTACGGGTGGAGGAGCACCGTGAAAGCTACGTGATTTGTCGTATGGAAAATTCTAAAGGGAAGGACGAAGAGGCGCACCCTGTATGACAGCCAGACAATACGCCCTTTTGTACTTTGTAACGCGGTGCTAATTACTCCGCATCAGGCACAGCCCTTAAGGTACACGCTGTCGAACCCTTTTACCGCGAGAAACCACCGAGAAAGCAGATTAACCAACAAAACGAAGAGAAGAGAGCCGGCGAAGAACGCCACGAGTCTGCGAACGCCCGGCCCCTTTGACATGCAAATACTCGCGATAATTATACCGGGAAACGATGATTCGCGCTATGTTTTTGCCGCGGTTGCGTGGCCCGATTCACCTCGGCCCAGGGAAAAAGGGTAAAAGTACTAATTCTTTCAGCCGCGTGCTCTCTTCTTTCCCTAAAACGTGGAAAAATCCTTCCTCCTGAAGTCAAGGAGGATCGATACGGATCAACTCTCGGCCAACCTAACTAGCCAACTTCTCTCTTCTCTTTCACTGAAATTTCCAATTACGTTATAATTTCGTTCGATTCGTTTCTCGAACATTCGTTTCTCGAACATTCGTTCGAACGAATCTCCCCATAAGTGGACGAAGCAACGCGTTTCCTCGGCCAGTTCGCGTCGACCGTCGTTCGCGCAATCGAAACGGAAAATAAAGTTTATTATTCGTTCACCGTTTCTCTTCTCCGTGGATGAATTCTCGAGAATGGAATTCCAATCGATGCATCGAGTTTAAAAACACTCGTACGCGAGTTTCGCGCTTTCTCTCTACATCGACGTACGGAAGTGGAAGCTCTTGCGCAATTTTTCTACTTTTTACGTAGATTAGCAGCAGATTTGTATTCGTCGAACGTGATCGAAAAAGAAAGAAATATTACGATCGATTCGTATTACTGTATTAATCGCTGTAAAATGGCGCTGTAATCTCTGCTTCAGGGGGATGATCCGGGGGGGTTAATCCGGGTAACATCGCTGAATCTGACCGGAAAGTTGATTCGAGAGTGACGAATGGCCAGGGCGAAAGGATCGAGGGCCGCCCGCCCCCTTCTTCCCGGTTTCTAATTAAATAACAACATAATTCAACGTCTTACGTTAAACAATTAAATAACGTTTAAGATTCAGCGACGGCTGCCGGTACTTTCCCCATTATTTCGCCGTTCCAGCCAGCCAACGTGAGAATCCACCCCTCGAATTCTTACGCCTTTCGCTTTCAATTCCCCCGCCCTTCCTTCCTCTCCGTCCCTCACTTTCTCCTTTCTCCCTTCGCCCCCCCTCTCTTCCTTTTCTTCCTTTTTCTTCTTCTTCTTCTTCTTTTTTTTTCGGCCGAACTCTCTCGCCGCTCGCCCCGGTATTGTTTTATGATTTTAATAAGACTCTTTTCGTTTCCCTATCGGCAATACTCCTCTCCTCTCTTGGCTCGCCACGTCGCCGCCTTTTCGCGTTGAATTCCAAAGTTTCACCCTTGCGGCCCTAAGAATGCTATTCTAACGGGGTGTATTCTTCGGGAACGATATTGTAGATATTGAAAAAAAAAAAAAAAAAAGGTGCGGAAGAAAACTTTAGGAAGATGAACGGAATCGAATATTAAGGTTAAGGTTGAGTTAACCGATGCATCCATGCTCGTGGTCGAGATGCGGATTTTCTCGTATAGAATCACCAACGTTCTTCTACTACACTTTTACGAATAGACGAAATGACGCACAATAGACGGTTCTATGGATTGCCATTATATCGAAGTATAATAAGGAATTAGAGAAAACGGTATCGAATATCGGTAGTGAATAGCAACGCAGCAGTCATGATCGAACAATTTTTAGTTTTATGATTGTACGAAAAATGCTATTTTAAACAATATTGGGAAGATGAGAAATTTAGTTTTTCTATACTTTCATAAATAGACGAAACGACGCACAGTAGACGGTTCTGAATTGTATCATTATATTGATATATAATAAGGAATTAAAATAGGAATTGAATATCGATAATAAATAGCTAACGTCATGATCGAACAATTTTTAGTTTTATGATTATAGAAGAATATTATTTTAAACAATATTGTCTANATGATTGTACGAAAAATGCTATTTTAAACAATATTGGGAAGATGAGAAATTTAGTTTTCCTACACTTTCAAATAGACGAAATGATGCAGAGTATACGGTTCTATGGATCGTGCCATTATATCGAAATATAATAAGGAATTAGAGAAAACGGAATCGAATATCGGTAGCAACGCACCAACATCATGATCGAATAATTTTTAGTGCCATTATATCGAAATATAATAAGGAATTAGAGAAAACGGAATCGAATATCGGTAGCAACGCACCAACAACGCACCATGATCGAACAATTTTTAGTTTTATGATTATAGAAGAATATTATTTTAAACAATATTGTCTATTTATGAAAATATAGAAATTTAGTTTTTCTATACTTTCATAAATAGACGAAACGACGCATAATAGACGGTTTTGAATTGTATCATTATATCGAAATATAATAAGGAATTAAAATAGGAATTGAATATCGATAATAAATAGCACTAACGTCATTATCGAACAATTTTTAGTTTTATTTTTTATGATTATAGAAGAATATTATTTTAAACAATATTGTCTATTTATGAAAATATAGAAATTTAGTTTTTCTATACTTTCATAAATAGACGAAACGATGCACAGTAGACGGTTCTGAATTGTATCATTATATCGAAATATAATAATTAGAATAAGAATTGAATATCGATAGTAAATAGCACTAACGTCATGATCGAACAATTTTAGTTTTATGATTGTGCGAAGAATATTATTTTAAACAATATTGGAGGTGAGAAATTTAGTTTTCCTACACTTTCACAAATAGTAGAAACGACGCATAGACTTCTATGGATCGTATCATTATATCGAAATATAAAAAGGAATTAGAGAAAACGGAATCGAATATCGATAGTAAATAACACTAACGTCATGATCGAACAATTTTTATAATTTTACGAAGAATATTTTAAAGAATATTGGGAGGGGAAAAAAAGTGAGAAACTTAAATTGATGAGAATGGAATATCGGTCAACGTGATGCACACATTGATACTTATATAAAGAGTGATTCTTTCCAATTTCTTAAACTCATCACAAAGAGCGAGCTCATAAAGCGGATATATTATTCTCGTTTATTGGGTTTCATCGAAAATCGCGGACTTGTAATGGTAACCGAATTAATCGGCTCCAATCTGTTCGCCGTATAAATTAGATCCTCGTTACGCATCGTGATTATGATGGAGCGTGTGCGCTCGTTGTTTTCCCCACGGCGTGAACCGGTAAATAGTAAACAAATTAATTGTCGCCGGCCGGGGCCACAAATCAGGCGTCGCGATTTGTTGCGTCGATCTGCAGATTTTCATCGTGTACACCAGTGTATATATATATACCGAGTGGATTTTCAAAGGGCAACCGTGCGAATCGATTTCGCGGTCGCGAAAAGCGAGGGAAATCAATCGCGCGTTGTTCGTGCCACCGCGATTTAATCGTGGCGGCAGGTTCCGGCCCTTGACTTCCGGTCAAACGTTCCAATGAAAGGATCGAAAAGTGATTCGTTCTTGCCGAAGATAAAAATCGCGGAAAGTCGAAGCGCAGAATTATATTATAACGCATCGACAACGTTGACGAAGCATTAAATACGTAATTAATTCGATGCGGAATTTTCAAGAAAATGAAAGTTTCCAGATCTCCATTCGCATAAGGGAACGAGCACTTCCCTTATATCCACTTGGATCGTTTTCGTACGTATCAAAAGTCGATATCCATTGTCAAATAAAGAATCCTTTTCGATTTTTCATGTCGCGTTATTGATAAAAACGGATCGGATAAATTATCGATGATCTTCAAGATGTCTTAGAAATGATGTACTACATTTAATCCTTTTGCGAGAATCCTCTTCGATTTTTGTCACATTATCAATCATAATAAAATAATAATAATAAATATACTAAAACAAAAATGGATAAAAATGGATCGGAAAAATTATCGACGATCGAATCGATCGAAATCGTTCGCAATTTTCCATTTGTCCCAGAAACGACCACGTTCCAGGATGGGGCGATCGAACGGTGTTTACGATCGTTTTATCTTTTCGCAGGGAAGTCTCACACGATGCTGGGAACGCCGGAAGCAGGGCACACACTAGGAGCGATCCCCTGCGCGATCGCCTGGCTGTTTCGAGGCATATCCGAGCAGAGACAGAGGACGGGAGCCAGATTCAGTGTCAGGGTCAGTTGCGTGGAATTAACCACCGGTCAACAGCAGCTCAGGGATCTTCTCGCGGCTCACGCTAACGGTGAGTAAATACTGCGAGATTCGGATGGTATGAAACTGTCACTACAAATCCTGTACAAATCTCGAAAGGATAACGAGGATGGAGGGCGGAAAGCAAATACACTCGTTTCACGCTCCAACGTGGCGGTAAGAAACGTCGAGAAATCAAATAGCTCGTCTATCCAAACGCGTCCATCCACCATTCGAGTGGTCAAAATTTTCAAGAAAGAGAATACTTCTCACCGAAAAAGAATGATTCTAAAACGGATTGTTCGCAATCACCGAGGTGTTTCAAAGTTTTCTCGTTTCCTCGATCGCGGTGGTAGTATCGTGGCGTGTCGAAGAAACTCGAGTCGTAAGAAACACTTGTCCCGAGCCCGGCCCCCCTTTTAACGGAACCTTCCCTTTCGACGATTCGCTCTCGCGCCTATAAAAGGACTGTCCTAGGGATCTACTGTACGCACGATGTAGGCACAAGGTAGGTGAACGGTAGAAGGGGTGGAAAGTTTCCTTCGAGATAGGATTGAATTCGTCGCGATTAATTCGATGCTTGGAACAATGCGGGCGAGTAGAATCGTTTTGGATTAATTGGTGGCGAGTGTGCACAGGGCACAGCGAGGAGAATTGTCCCTGATTGACTCGTCCATGGAAATGGATCGTGCTTGATTTCTAAAATCGAATCCGGATAGATTTATGTTACGTTGCGAATTGTGATTATCGAATTCGTTTTCTCTTATATTCATTCAAGATTTAATTTTCTCGAAAAATGAATTATATATTTTTCGAGCAAAAAAAAAAAAGTCCTTCTATTAGAAACTTTTAATAGAAAAAGAAGGAAAGGAAAGGAATTAAAATCGCTTTAGAATATAAATCCAGGAGGAACAACAAGACCGCGAAGCGAATTTGTCATTGTGGGAAGTAAATTGCATCGATAAAAACAGGAGTGGAAGAACGGTTTTAAACGCGGCCTCGGCATTCAGAAAATAAAAAGTCGGCAACAGGGGATGGGAGAGAAATTATATCCGAAAATCGCATATTCCATTTGCTCGATACTAGTCCGATACTCTAATCCCATCGACTTCTGTGTCTTTCGATCGGTAAGAATGGACCGTAATAATCATCCAAGGGGATGAGGAGGAGAGGCATTGGTCGAACGTCTGTAAGAATGAAATCGTTGCCTTCCATTTCTTCTTCTTCTTCTTCATCTTTTTTTTTTTTTTTTTTAACTTTGCTTTTTCTCGTTCCGGCATCCGTAAAAGATTCCGTCGAGTATAATATGCAGGGAACGGGACGAGAATAGTCCTGGTCGTCGTTTGGTTTCGTCTTCACGGACCACCTCGTCCACTCGTTGGTCCGTAAAATTGAAGGGTAAGATTATTTCTTATCCCCCTTCTCTCTCTCTTTCTCTCTCTTTCTCTCCCTCTTCGCTTCTTCTCCTCGTCCTCTTTGTTTCCTATCTCCGTGGAAGAATTGCGGGGAACAACTCGAAGGACTAATAAGAAACCGAAGGGGTGGAGGCTCCTCCGCTGCGGTGCACTTATGGGAACTCTCCAAATCGGGGAGGAGCACGAGGAACGAGCTCTCCTCCAAACGATCTCTGAAAATTAATCTTCGAGGTTCATTTCTCTCGTCTTCTACGATCCTTTCGACTATCGTTCGACCCTCGAAAAATCGAGAACGAGACGTGTGTTTCGATTACTTTCGCGAATCGTACGCCTCCTCGTCGTTCTTGGAACTCGGCTGCAACTCGGTGATTTGCATAGTTGCGCTCTTCTCTACACAGACACATGGACCGTTATCGTAGGAATAGGGCTGTGGGTGGTGGTCGTGGGTTAGGATCGAATTTAAAAATTAAAAAGGTCACGCGCTGGGTACCGTGCACCGCACGGTGCATTAAGAAACAATTGGCGGCGTGTACAATGTACGTACAACGTACAACCGAAGTTATCGCGATCGTGTCTTGGAAGAGGATAAATACGAGAGGGTCATAATCTCAAAGGATTTAGAATCGTAGTAAATTTCGCAGCTGACATTAACGTAGAAGTCGCGTGCCACGTTTGGAACGTGGCGTTATTAAACTGCTGTGTCGAACCAAGCTTCCTTCGTAACGTTGCCACGTACACCGTCACGGACTATATAAAATATATAAACTGGTACCAATTAATTTTCTTTTCCTTTTTTTTTTTCCTCTCCCTTTTCCACGGCACGTTCCTTTAATACGCCGAAAATCGAGAAACGTTCTCGCCAACAGCCTCTAACCTTTTTTCCATTCGAAACGAGGAGGATTCGACGGAATAAATTTGGAGGGACGAAAATTTCCTCGACCTTAGTTTCCTCGAAAAGTAAAGGGGAAACGCGCAAACGCTACATTCCTCGAGCAAAAAGCAAAAGTTTCACCTCTGATCCACAATTTTCGAAAGGAACTGCGTGTCGCGTGTTCTGATCCTTAACGAGACAGATTCTTTCCGCTTTTCCCCGACGAGACGTTAACTAATTAAGACGCGATACAATTAATTTTCCAGCTTATTAAATAATTAACTCGTATCTCGAGGTCTGCGTCTTGCCTCCAGAAACGTTCGAAACCGTCTCCTCCTCCTCCTCCTCCTCTCCTTTCAGACTTTCCCGTTTGTGTCTCTCCCTCGCCGTTTGCCGAGAAACACCGAAAACCAAGCCCTCCTTTCCCTCGACCGGCGCAACCACCCTCCCTCCAACTTGGGCTTTTCTACCCGGCAACTCGATAATCCCGGCTCCGGTAATTATTTAAAGTTTTCGACGGGACCCAGAGCGGAACAGAGGACCAGAAGCGGAATACCTTTCGTCTTTGCGGTAATTTACTTTTGTTTCTTTCCACCCCCGCTCCACTTTACTCCAACCTTCACTTCCGCCCCATTTTCGATGGATTTCTATCTCCGCCTCTCGATTCATTCACGACCACCCAAACGAACCGCTCTCTTCCTTCTCTCTCTCTCTCTCTCTCTCTCTCTCTCTCTCTCTCTCTCTCTCTCTCTGGCTCCGGCGAAAAGAGCGTGAAACGATCTTCCTCGAGCTCTTCTTTTAAGCGACCGTGCGCGTTTCCACGAGGAGAAGGAGGAAGGAGACAGGAAGAGAAATATTTTTCCCGGGATATTTTTCGAGGCGAGCGCATTTACGCGGTATGGTCCCGTAATAATTTCCATCGTGACTCGCTCCGCGCTTATTGTTTTATACTTGTACGCGCGTAAAGCGGATAAGAAGGAAGATAAGGGCGGAGGGCGAAAAAGTAATGGAGAGAACGTCGTCGTGGCGTTGCACCGTCACGCTGGAGCGCTCCGCTTTTAACGTAACGCGCGTAAAACGTGACGAATGAATTCTGTCTTTCTCTCTCTCTCTCTCTCTTTCTCTCTCGTTTTCTCGCTCCGCGATGGAACACCGAGATCGAGAATCGAAAGGAGAACCATTCGCCAATTTTTATTCCCGTCAACAATCGGAGAAGAATCTTCATTCGATCGAGTTGCGTTTTATCACCCGGACGAAAGGGAAAAGGCATCCCTTCCCTGTGTATTCGCATACGAATGAATCGATCGATAAATAATCGCGCGAATTATTTGTTAATATCCATTTGTTTGCCGGTTGACCGAAACGATCGAGTTAAATAACCTCGAAGCCGCGTGTTTGCGTTTTCGATACACGGCAGAAATATATATTGAACCGCGGGTGTAACCGATGATGCATCTGCGGTCGGAAACGGTTCTATGTCTCCATTTGTCATCAACCCGTCGGAAGGGAAGGTTCCGCGAATATACGGGTCAGCGTGTGTAATAAGAATTCGCTTGACGATCTTTCGTTTAATAAATTGGGTGAATTTATAACAAACGTTTGTCAATTATAATTTGTCAATTATATCGGATATCAGACAGGATATTGGACTCGATTAATTGGATTATTATTATTATTATTATTATTATCCTGCAGATCGGAAACGTAATAAGACTACGCGACGTCCCGAGAGTTTTGTTAAGAATGATTAAATAAAGTTTCGCGCGATAGATTCCATCCGAGAGGCAATTTTTATTACCAATGTAATCACAATCGAAGTATTCAAGTATAATTAATTTTATAATTTGATAAAATAATATCGTTCCCCTTCTCTTCTCCGGTTTTCATTTTCATTTATCCAACGGATTCGATTTGCTCGATTTATTCAAAAACCTCGTTCGGTCGGTTAATTAGATCCGCGTGGGGATTATCCAGGGGATTGCGCGTCCCCTAATTTTCCACGTCGAGAGAGAGAGAGAGAGGGAGAGAGGGAGAGGTTCGTCGAATCATCAATTGTCAACGGTATAATATATATTTGTCATAAAGTGACTCTCCCTCTTCCCTCCCAGGACGAATCGTTTACCGAGGTAACTTTTACGACGGCGGGGGAGGATCTCTAGCGTGCGGTTGGCAATTAAAGAAAAGCATGGCCGTCTTACGCCGTCGTAGCGAGTCGGTTTCTCGGGAAATGGTAGCGCGGGCAATGGCCCATGCCCCTCGCTGCAGAAATTGGAGATCGTTCCGTTAACGGCAGCTTTCCTCACTTCGTCACTTGAAAGTTTAATGAGGCGAGGTCTCCGTCCAAGGTCTCCTTTCCAAAAAAGTAAACTGTTGGTTTATACCAACCGGTAATAATTTTTCGTAGAGCAGTAACGGGTCGACCTGATCTCCCAACCATCTACCTCTATTCCCTTTTCAATTTCTCTCGGATACGTGTGTGTTTCCTTTCCGGGAGAAATTTTAGAATATCGAGAGGGGGAGTCGAGAGACTCGAGTTAAATTTAATTGGCCCCGTTGGCAATTAGAAGATTGGATTTTTCAGGATTGGATTCAATTAGATAGATTATATTTAGAGTTATCAACGATTTCTTATCGCCTTTGCGAACAGAATACCCTTTGGCTCTTACTTGAGTCCGTTGGCTTCTCCAAAAGGGTTTTATATATCCGTTGTTACTCAACGGGTTCCGCAACAGTTGATTGGATGTAATCCAATCCGGTGCGAATGCT